CCTACGAAACGTTCAGTTTAGTCTATGTAGTTTAGTTTAGTTGTATAGTGGTTCGAAACTTTTCCATTTTGTTGTTGCCGCCTCAATACGTATTTTACTTTTTATTTTAAAACTAATAAAATAAAAGAGATTTTAGTGGTAGGATAGGAAAAGAAAGACGAAGACAATGACCGTAAGAATTCTGGGGTCTTGCACAATAGGGTGAAAAAATTTTCCTAACGGTCGCTTAAGAATCTATAAATACAGGATGTAACAAAAATAAGTACCGAGCTTGCAGGAGATGATAGGGTACTATAAAACAAGAAAATTAAGTAAATGTTTGTATGTTCGAAAGCTCAAAGTTTCCGAGAAAAACGTACTACTAAATTGTTTACCTTACACGTTTGATAATCGGTAATGTTTACATTTTCCGTTTATGTCAGAGCCGGGCAAACTCGGCTCTCTTGCCTCCCGAGTGCTCCTCGGGTACAGCCAAGGAGCTCCTCATTGATCCTGCGAGTGCGAGTGAGATGATTTTTTCTTTTTCTTATCCCTTCCATTTCATAGTGAGTCCCCTCTTCAACAGCCAAACCCAATAGTTTTGCGAACGAAAATTTTCGTAGGTATTATTTAAATTGCGAGAGAGGCTTCGCTCGTCTACGGTATGAAGGGGCTTGAGATGGGAGTGGAAGGGAGAAGAAAAAGAGAAAGCAATATGGGTCATTACTGCTTACTCTCTCGTACTCATTGAAGGGTATGGAGTGACTCAAACTAACCTCAGGTAGCGGCTCCTACGAAGTTAAAGTTTGCCCGGCTCTGGTCTATGTAGCTACAGCTATCGTACTACGCTATTCGGTAGACATCTACGTTACCAATTCACGCACAGGACCGGCTCCGGATTATAAATTACTGTGATTCCCTTAAATTTTTTTTGTCTTTAACCACGCTGTTGAACTTATCGTGTAGTTGTTTATTGAATATAGTTTACACCGTCCGGAGCTCGGCAGTTACTTCAGTTACTCCCTGTATTGATTAAATTCATGTAGTGGGCACATTGTTGATAAAATTGACGCAGTAAAAAGCATCTGTCCATTGTCCAATAACTTGATTGACCAAGACGCGAGACGCTGTCCTAAAAGGCCGTTCCATTTCCAAATAACAAAATCGGCATCGCCGACGCGATTCGTGCAACGGAAACAGCGATGAGTCGACGAAATCGAAGCGGAAACCGCATTAACATCATCATTGTAATAATAAATCACAAAATCACAATGGGGATGTAAATAATGGATTACGAAAAGATGATTAATGGAGACACGGCCTGCGCAGCGTTATAGCGAGCTGATGATGCGGATGACAATGATGGCTTTCTTAATGGTTTTCTACAAACGCTTCTTATTGTTGCCTTGCCTTTTAATTTTACTTATGAAATATTTAACATTAAACGATACCGAATGGACAAGAACACAGTAAACAGGACGACAGTTTACCGTTAAAATATTAATTGCATGTGTATAAAAAAAATATACTCACTTATTCCTACATTTGAAGTTACCGAAAACCGACGAAACACGCGTACCTATTCGTGACCTTCGCAACAGCTGATACGCAGACAAGTCAATTGTACGTAATACTTAGTAAAAATCGGCACTCGTTGTGTGGAAATATCAAGCAAATATGGAAGGTCTATCGTCATCATTGCCGGAGCAGTTGGGGCTTTCGGTAAGGTCACTACCCTCATGTTTATTTATATCACTCAGTGGTGCGAGATGGCTTATCCCACTTCTTTTTCATGTACCTTCTTTTCCCTTAATTTTTCCGTAGTACTGATCAGACATAGTGTATAAATACATACGTATCTGTATGTCCATGTAATCAGCGTAGCGAGAGTGACGAGTTAATGCTGGGTACGAGTTTTATCTTCCATTTCGTCGTGGTTCTAATTTATGGATATTGCATATGTCAAATGTGGTCTGGGAAAGTCACAGCGGTCCGATGCTCTGACCGTAACCGATTCAAACGACTGTCCGCGGAATAAACGTGAATTAGAATTACCAGTAAACGGCTGGTACGATAATGGTTCATTTCGTGGTGACCGACGAACGGTTAGTTCCTTTACGGACCGTTATCAAAGTTAATTAGGTAAAAGCGTACATACCTAGCTACGTACATAAAAACGAAACTACAAAAATCCGATGCATATGGTGGTTGTAACTTGACGTTTGGTACTAGGTAAAGCGACGGGGTAGCTAAATTTATTGCGACACGACAACCGGTAATGTTTGCGAATGAAGCTCGTTACATCTTTAGGTAATTGTTATTAGCTGGTTGTTTATAGGTAAATAGATGTTTACTAATTTCAGGGACTGGGATTTAGTCCTCTGTGGCATACGGACACTAGGGAAGGGAGAAAGAGGCTACTTTAAATACAAAATTAGTGTCCTGTAGGTAATATAGAATAAGTAAGCTCAAAAATTTATTTTATTTTGCCCCCCTCCCCTCGAGGAAGCTTTTTCACTCCTCTCCTCCACGTTATGGAAAATTTTAATTTACTGATCGGAGATAACCTCACGGAGGCGCACTCCAAATATTATATTAGGGGAAGAGTTATTACAAAAAAGCAAAATTTTTATTCAGTTATAAAATAACATTGTCGAACAGTTGTCTTATTTTGATAGCGCAGCGATTAGTTAAAAAAAATTGAAAGTGTATTGCTGATCGTATACCACCGCTACAAAGTTGTCAAAACTTGTCGTTACCTGATGTCATATTTAAAATGTTACTAGCTCCTGTTAGCGATCAGCTATAGTAGATATAGTTCAAATACCGTAGCTCACTGAGAGTAACTTATTTTCGGATTACAAATTGTTTGTTCGTTTAGTTATAAAATAACATTGTCGAATTGTTGTGTTATTTCGATAGTGCAGCGATCAGTTAAGAAAACTTGAAAGTGTATTGCTAATCGTATACGAACGCTACAAAGTTGTCTAAGCTTCTTGTTACCTGATGTCATATTTAAAATGTTACCCGATCCTGTTAGCGATCAGCTATATAGCTCACTGAGAGTAACTTATTTTCGGATTACGAATTGTTTTTACTGTAATGAAAAATCAAACTGCTTTGCCAAACTCCATTTGTTCAGTTATAAAATAACACTGTCGAACAGTTAACTTATTCTGATGAGTTAAGAAAATTTGAAATTGTATTTGGACGACTGAATAATTGGTAAGTAGTATTTCTTTAAACTTAGACAAATACCGATTAATTAATGAGATCTAAATTTCTGCATACAACTCTGAACTCTTGCAAAGAGTTGTTAGCTTATTCTGATAGCGATCAGCTATACAAACTTAAATGATATCCAATAAATGCTTTTCGACTTATATTTTTTTATAATCGATAAACACTGCCTAATTGTCATTTCAGCTATAAACACTTGAAATTGTACCTACAGCTGATCGAAAAAGGAATAGAAGTTTTGAGAGAATACGTGTAAGTCTTTGTGGCGCTTGTTACAACTTTATAAGGAGCGACTGTAGTTGGTTATCGCATCCTGTTATGTCTGCTATTGTTTTGTCGATTTCGCTTCTATGCTGGTCGTTATCAACTCGGCAAGTCACCAGTAACTCCGCCGGTTGTCTTATTATTCAACGAACTTCCGCCTTTCTCTGGAACGTAGTGCAATAAAGCGGCTTTTAGTGTGTCGCGGCTAATTCCGAGTTCGAAAGTGCCCTACCGACTTTAATCATAGCAGGCGGGAAGAAATCGTAAACTTTATATACGTTTCCCTTGTTCGTATTGATAAGAACGACCGCGGCTATTCGAACATGCCGGTTCATTAGCTATACGATTGTTTGTTTGCGAGTGTGTGTGTGGGTATGCGACGCTTTCTTCTTCTACTTCTCGTACTTTTTTGCGAGAAAAGTGTTACTTTTTAGCAACATAGTAAAGTGCTTGTTTATAGTCGTCGTTGTCGCTGGATATTTTATGGGGTCATTCGTACTTGCAAGTCCGGTTATTTACGACCGCTGGAAGCTGGAAGTCCGGGCAAATTGCGTACAGATATACATACATATACGGAGACTGATTTAGGATATGGACTGATCTCAACCGGAAAAGTAGTTACTTTCGTTGAACGTATTAAATTAGGAATTTGCGGCGGTGAAAGTACTCACACTGAATAAAGTCTGCAGGAGTGAAGGATAATATAAAGCTCTTTATAAGGGTAGTAAAACCCAATTGGCACTTTTTACATTTTCAACTCGAGAATCGAACTATACAATGTGTATCGATGTTAAAATTTGGATGTAAGCAAGATGGAATGCTTAAAAGAATACGAACCAACAATTTTAAAAGGAAATTAAGGTATAAAATATCCCGAAAGTTACAAGGAATAATGATCAGAATTTTGTAAAAATTTTCCAAATTTGTCCATTATAATACAAGTGGGTTTAAATTAATTAAAATAAACAGAATAACAGATAATGACTTTAGATATGTAAAATCAGCCACTTGTTTTAATTTTTTGTCTCCTACCTTTTTAATCACTTTTTCACCATTTTTTTTTCTTGTTTTAATTTTATTTTATTTTACATTGCTGCAAAAAAGAGCGCCTTTATGTTTATCAATAGCTTTAATCTTTTATATCTCTCGTCAAGAACCATTCCAGTATTGTACTGGATTTTAATTAGTGACATTTGTATATATGAGGGATGTATAAAAAGGTGAATACAATTTAATTCAATTGCGAAGATTTTCCATTGCCTAACAGGCATATTACGAATATTTTCGTTCCTACTTAGTGGATCGCTGTCAATAACAACCTGTTAAATAATAAATAGCAAAATAACTACTATTTATTGAACACCTTGTATTTAATGGGAGCGATACAGGTGTTTTTATTAAGCGACATAGCTTCCCAACGATGAATTGATTTGGGAATCGGTTGAGGCGTGAAATTCTCGCCGAAAATCAAAAACGTTCGCCGAGCATTCACCTGATTAATGATTAAACTAACTCACCTGTCACGGCTATATTAACTGAGAGGGCTTTCCGCAGGGCGTCGAGTTTCTTATTCTTCGAGCCTGGCGACTTTTTCGGTACAACGCAACTGTACTCGCCCGCCTCCTGATAGAGGATGTGATCAATCTTGAGGTCCTGAGAGGCACCTAATGGCTCCAATCGGCCAGTCTCGGTGTCCAAATGCGTCCAACACCCGGACGTGCCTGGAAAAATAATAAAATAAATACCTCAATGTTGCATACGTATCAAAGGGGTTCCAAAGCGGACTCCTATCTAGAATACTTTCCAAAAACACCTCACATAATAATCAAAAGGGAAGTGTTTGTAAAAATTTATCCGATATAAAACTGACAAGGATTCTGTGTTTTTATATAAACTAATATACTTTAGTATCACCACCACATAAAACTAATCTTTTGATCTCTCAGGAATAGTATTTTTTCTGGATAAAAAGTACCCTATGTCCTTTTCTGTACCCCTGACAATGTGTGTACAAAATTTCATAATGATCGGTTAAGTAGTTAAGGTCTAAAATGGTAACAAACAAACACATTCACATTTATAATGTTAGTTTGGATTATACCTGCCTTAACGGCATCATACGCAAATGAGATCATCCTATATACTTTACCTCTGAGATATGGCAAAACCAGGGATATTTTGCTGTATATAAGGAATTGATACTTCCTGTTCAATGTTAATGGTACTAAGGTAATGTCAATCGCTGAACAATTAATAGACAAAATGATGATAATAATTTAACATAACCTTCTAATTTGTCCTTAGGCTTTTAAATAATCAGTAAAGTGGTGAGAACTTCTACATACACAAGGAAATATTAGGCGAAATTACTAAGCCTCTTTAAACAAAGCTGATTAATGAATTAAACATAAAAATTTATGATTTATTAATTGGAGACGTTTCAACTTTGTTTGTCCTGTGAAAATGAGTTGATTTGACGTATCATCAATTAAAAATATGGATGAACATTAGATGTTCTTTAATTAAAATTGTAACTGGAGAATTGTTAAGCGCAATCCTAGCCGACTGTTACTGAAATGATGAGAAACGATACGCCAAGCTTTCGACAAATGAGCTGAAAATTGTGTTGACATTTTAGGCCTTCCTTTTTATTTTAGTCGAAGACAAACTCGTCGCTCCCTCCCTTCTTTTGTTTTCCTCTATTCGTAATGGGAATTTTAATGGGGATGGACCGCGCCTACACATAGCGCCCGATTTTTATCGCGGATTAACAAATTCATGAATGTTTAAAAAGCGAAAGCGTTTCAAAAAAAGGAATCGGGAGTTAGGAATAAATTATATCTGAGCTGGTAACTTTCTTTGTACATGCTAATATTATCTTGAAGAAGGTAAACGGAAGAAAAAGGCGGAAATAAATTTTAATATTTGTCTAAAATTTATTGCTTTATCCACTGGGACAAAACCGATTTTTGGGGTAGCTCGATGTATGTTTACTAAACTCTGAGAGAAATCGTAAAAACAAGACATTTTAATTTATGTATGCGACCTACAAACATGGTATATGAATAGCCCCTAGCATGGAATTCTCGAAAAAAAAGTATTTTGGTATCAGTAAGAAATATCAGATCTATAGCCTTTTATGCGACGATATTGCCTAATGTGTATTTTCCATTGTTTTCCTTCATATTTTCCAACCGAAATAAGCGAATTAATATTTACAACAAATAAGAGCAAGCAAAGAAAATCTAAAAGTTGAATGTATATTAGAATTCTAATGAAAGTCTCTCAATACATATTAATATCTGGGAGGACACCGAAAGAGTCAAAGTTTACGTTTCACTAACTTTCATAAGTGCATAAAACCGTGTAGTGTTGCAGTTGCTATCTAATAAGTCTACTGAATAAGATGAAAAGAGGGTTTTACACTATCAAAAAATGCCTACAAAACATCTTATTATTCAGTTTCACTAGGACAAGTTTCAGTTTCCTTTTTGGTATATTTATTACGGTTAAATGTACAACAGGACCGAGTTTTACGTTGTTAGCTTTCGTCAGGGAAACCCCCGACGAACACGGTCGTTACTTCAGTTACTTCAGCCTTAATTTAGAAGAGTCAAGCGGGAAGGGAACCCCATTACGTGATTAATTTACTACACCGGAAACTTCACCAAAGTTTCACTGAAGCACTACCAACTAGCGGACCCTTGCCGCCTTACCCTTACGTTGCAGATGCACCAGATCGATTTGAATGGCTGCAGTTTCAACGTTTACAAATATTTCAGATTAGCAGAGTAACTACGTTGCAAATTAGTCCAATTGGAATAACGATTAGCTTAAAGTACTTGTACTAACTACTGCAATGTTTTAAATCATTTCATATAAGAACTATTGGACTTTACGAAACGATTCTAGGGGGAAGATTGACTCTAATCAGGGAAACTCTAAAAGAGGTTAATACCATTGAAATTTAATCAATCCTCGATGATGTTACTAAAGTGGGCCAGTGTATTAACAGAAGAAAAAGAGTTCTGTACAAACTTATTGGACTGAATCTAGAGTAGACAATGCCGTAGAGCTTTGTATATAACTAAACTATTTACATTAAATTTACTACTGTTTTGAATATACACCACTGGATTTTGCTTCATACTTCTATACTCATCTTATTTTGGTATTTTGTGGTAACACTTTACCAATCGAACGCTAATGAATGCAGATCATTACTAATCATTACGTACAATTGACTTGTCCACGTATCAGCTGTTGCAAAGGTCACGAATAGGTATGTGTGCCGATAATATAACGCGGCTGGTTAACTGGCATACTTTTTGTGCATACTTTTTACAACCCTTACGTTGTGATTTTATGAAGAGATGTACTCTGCAGCGGCTCCAGATATTCCCCTTCAAATATTCGGGAATACTGATCAGACAGTGTATGTATAACTACGTAGAACAATATTATGAACATTACGTGATTAGCTGCTACTATTTTGTCAAAACTTGGTACAACTACGAACGAATTACAGGTAGGAACGATATAGGACATAGTAGAGGCTGAAATTAATCCGAATGTTGCAAAAGATAAACCTCAACAAACAAAAATTTAACGGTGTTGGTTGCACTCGCCGAATTACGAAACGGACGTGAAATGGAACAAGAACAATAAACAACTTTTGGAATTCCGTCGGGCAGCAAGACAGCAACAGAAACACGACCGCCGGTTACTGCCGGAAAGCACGCCGCGGCTGCTTGATTCTTTCTCTTTAATTATTTATGACACGACATTTGTTGTGCACTTCTTCTTCGTTGGGAATGTTTGCTCTTTATTTCCGACGTTACCTTCATATCTGTAGGTAAGTATTTGCTCGATGCGATGGTTGCACGACAGTCAGGTTTGCAGTCTAAATTGTCTTGACACGACGCAAACATATACCACAAGTAGATAGATTTCAACCAATTGTGACATAAGGTGTATGTTATAATTTATACATAAGGCGTTCCATCCTAGATATATGTTTGTGTCATCTCATATTTACATTCAAATATCAAAGATTGACATGTGTTATTAGCCTTTCTAAAATCTTGAAAACATTAGAATCGTTCGTAAATTTTCGACTGCATTCTACAAAAATTCTGATATGAAAGGGAAGGAAAAGTAGGGAAAGAGCGAATATAAAGATAGGAGACGAAAAATTAGAAGAAGTGACCGATTTTAGATATCTAGGAACTCAGATAAGTCAGGACGGAAGGAGTAGTAGGGATATAAAGCAGAGGATAACGCAGGGTCGAGTCGCCTTCAATAAAAAGAAGTCACTTCTATGCTCGAGAACGGTTAATTTAGAAATTCGAAAAAGGTTGTTAAAGGTGTATGTTTGGAGCACGGCGATGTACGGGTGCGAAATATGGACAGTGGGTGCGGCGGAAAAGAATAGGTTAGAAGCGTTCGAAACGTGGTGTTACAGGCGAATGATGAGGATGCCGTGGATAGAGAAGGTTAGAAATGAAGAGGTATTAGAAAGAGTAAGAGAACAGAAGACTCTATAGAAGTCAATAAGAAATAGGCGTGATAAGTTAGTAGGACACCTTCTGAGGCATGAAGGTCTAGTCAGAGACATATTAGAGACAGAAACGGAAGTTAGGAGGGGTAGAGGTAGACCTAAATTAGATTACTGTTCGCAAATAGTTAAGGATGTGGGTTCTTCCAGTTATGGGGAAATGCGAAGATTAGCTCAGGATAGGAAAGAGTAGAGATGCGTGTCCAACCAGTCTTAGGACTGACGACCTTATGATGATGATGATGATTCTGAAGAACTGTATAGAACTTCATGATGATAATGGTTCGGTAACATTGTCCCATTATAGGAACAAGATTATGTTCAGATTCCCACGATAGGAAATGATATTTAAAAAGATTTCATTTCATTGATTCAAACGAATCTAGCGAAAATTTTACCACATGTCTTGCTTCTATTTCCGTTTTGTTTGGTAACCGGAGATCCATTTCAATTGCTGAATAATTTACCAGTACTGGGAAGAGACTTTTTAAAGAAAATGTAATCCCGAAATCTCGCGTTACACTGGGGGAATCCCGCCTTTATCTGATACTCATTTACAGTACGTTCGTGTACTGTTTTAATAGAAGGCTCTTGTTTCCCGTTGAGCTCAGTAACAAACAAGAACAGCGAGCGACGACGAACGTCAGGACGTCGAGGACGACTGAAGCATCGGCGGTAACCCGATCCGGGCGTATTTGTTAGCGATCCATCTTGCTCTGCTTGAAGGGGTTTACTCGGTCTGTAGATGATAAACATTAAAAGACAGTTCTGGCCTACTTGCATACCCTGCCTGTCCATCACCTTTGATTTATTGTAACGCATTCTGTATTGTTCTATTATTGCTGTTCCACGTGACGGTAAATTAAGGGATGACGTGAACTCTGACTGATTATTGTATGTATTTACCCGCACACGTAATCGTAAAAGACACAACGTTCCTGCTCGTTTATTTCTTTTTTATTTTTGTCTTTTATTGGATAATATGTGTTGTCATTATTTTTGGAGTAACTGCTTTCTATTTACGTCTGTATATAACATTCATGTACATAGGTCAGAGTGTATGTGTGTGCCAGTGGAAGTGTATGTAACAATTGAACAAATGAGATCGAAATTACAGACACCCAGCTGACCCATTCTACCCTTAAATAAAATAACAGAAGAAGT